GTAGGTAGGTAGGTGGGTAGTTGTGTGTGTAGGTAGGTAGGTGGGTAGTTGTGTGTGTAGGTAGGTAGGTCGGTGGGTAGTTGTGTGTGTAGGTAGGTAGACATAGACAAGCACAATCTAGGGAACAGAGTTTCTAAGTCAAGCTGGAGCAAAGATGAGGTTTTAAGGGGTCACCTGTGACTTTGACCTTTGACTCAATAACCTTGAAATCAACAGAGATCATTCTTGACCCCTCATAAGGCCAGCTGTGCAGTTTTCTATGTTAAAGGTCATCAGTTTCTAGGTGAAATAATAAACTGTCTACAGACAGATGGACGAATGGCTCCACATGTCTCGTCTTAGACGGGTGTATGAAAACAATTTTGTTACTTCCTGTTAGAATAGTGCCCCTCTTTCTCTTTTCAAGCTTAACAATATTTATTTATTTATTCTGTTTTTTTTTTTTTATATATATATATTTTTTTTGGGGGGGGGGGGGGGGTGGTATTCTGGGATGTAGAAGAGCAACATTTCAAATTATAGAACCCTACTTTTAGTGCTGCTGGTATTTTGAGACAATTTCTGCATTTCTGTAGAAGAATTACTTTGTTTCCGTCTTCTGACTTCAAACAAGCTTTTTGTTTAGCTGAAGTAACAGCTGTAACACTGCACATCAGTTTGTCAAATGTCTTTCAAAGATAAATATCCAGATTTTATTTTTAATCCGTTGTTTTACTGCTTTAGAATAAATAGGCAAGCTTGCAAGGAGATTTGTTTTGTGTTGCTTAGCTTAAACAGCTGCATGTGTGGGACTGAGGCAACTTCAGATCCTAACAGGTTTTGTCACCACCCACACTTTCACCAAACACAAAAACTAGATGGGGTATTTCATAATTATAGTACAAATGTAAAAACACAAAAACTCTATTGTTTCACACATGTCTGATGAATCTAACAGAACACTGACCTTTTTACACTTGTAACATGAATACTCAAAACCTGTATTTTGCAGAGTATTGTGGTCTAGATTCATTACTTCTAATTGTACTTTACAAACCATCTATCTAGGTCTACTAAATCTATATTATTACAATATACAATCTGGTATACTAAAGTCAGCTGTCTACTTTGCATTTTTTTATATCAGTTTTAAAAATAGTATCTGACTTTTAATAAAATTTAATTTAGCATTAAATGTGTTGGTTTGTATACAAAGTGATTGAACCACTGTCACTGACATACAATGAAACATAAATCTGTAAATGTTACAGTGTCTGGACACCATGGAAAGGCTGAAGGACAATTTTTTTTTCCCATATTTTCATCTGACACAGAGCGGTTGTACCAGTCTAAGGTGTGAAAGGCTTATCTGCAGCTCAAACACACGACGGCACTGCCATCTGAGTCACGCAGAGGGCTTAAAGTTTACTGTAAGGATCCATTCAGAGGCCATCACTACAGCTGCATTATTAATGAATGAGGCTGCCGTACCTTTAGGTCGAAGCTGGAGAGACTGATGGTGTCATCCTCCTTTTCTTTACGCTTCCTTTTCTGCACGAGCGGAACAAAACACACACTGATCATTTCAAAAAACAGAATTTGCAGAATGAAGCTGCAGATCAAACAGAAGCTACGTGGATGGCTCGTGCTGTAAAATTTACTCACTAAAGTGAAATCCCATGGGGTCCCTGGAGTGAGGAAGGTGAAGGAGCTGCCTCTCTGCAGAGGTGGTCTAAAGAAAAATGGCAAATAACGTTTTTAATCCAAAAAGCTGCACTGCTCAAGTGTTTTTATAGGAAAATGCCAATTATGTTGCCACAACAAAACAGCTACAAAGTGTCACACCCAAAAACAGCCACAGTACACAACCTTAAACCTCTACTCGTTACATAAAGACTCAAGAACATTTTATAACAATAATGTTTAAAGTTTCTGCGATATTTTTTAGGGGCATTTTTGAGGTACGTGGACAAAAATAACTGCTAGGTGCTTCTATTTCCAGTCACTACAGGCTCAGAATGCAGCAATCATTTTAAGAAACCTGTTTCTGTTATGTATTTATGTGTTTAAAATGTATGAAAATCTAAATATAAAGAAAGTGCATGGTTTAAATTGCAGATAAATTGATTGTATTGTTTTTTTCTTTTTACTGACTTTAGCAAAGTTGTTTGTCCCCCTGAAATACACAGATGGACCCTGCATCTCCAATACTACAGAATAAACTAAAATAAAGTAGTGGAAAAATGCTAACTTGAAAATAGAGAAGCAACCAGAGCTGTAAAGTAACTAAGTACAAATACTTTGTTACTGTACTTAAGTAGAACTTTTGGGTATCTGTACTTCACTTGAGTAATTATTTTTTTATATTTCTATTTATTACTTTTTACTTCTACTTCTTACATTTAAAAAATAGACAAGAAGTAGAAAGTCGTTACTTTTATTTCATTTTTGCTTGTTTTTATTCCAGCTTGTTATTGTAAAAAATAAATACTGTCCATATAAACTGTGCCTCCTAGATAGAGTGAATTTAATTGTGGTTGAATGAGAAGTATAAACACATAAAATTCTGATACCGTATTAGTTTGTACACAAACAAATGATGTCAAACTGCAGCAGGACATAATCATTAAAATAAAAGGACTGTACTTAAGAAGTATTTGTATTTCATGAATTATATTATTGTATTTGTCCGCAGCCCTCAGATACATTTTTATTTTGGGGGAAATGTTTGGACAGCCTTGATATGTGTATATAAACTGAAACAGCTGGACTAGTGCATCTTAAATTTAACATAAATTAGTTATTTTAACGAGATAGTAATTTCTAATTTTTTTTCTTTTGTGTGTGTGTGTGGGGGGGGGTCACCTGCTAATAAATGTCATTAAGGAAAATCTGACTGCTCATTTTAAATCAATCATACTTTAAGACTTTTACTCAAGTAATATTCCTAAAGGAGACTTTAACTTTTACCAAAGTAGTTTTTTGGTATGATACTTGTACTTTTACTCAAGTATCACTTTGCGGTACTTTATACAACACTGGAAGCAACATGATATGATATAAAGAAGTTCATAAAATGTTTAGACAATTTATCATGGCATCTGACTAACACTCTGGTTGAGAAACAGATAATGAATGAAAATCTATAAGATGATGACTATAATATCAACTGCAAATCATCTGTTTTATATAGAATATTTAATTGATTATCAAACAATGCAGTGTAAATCTGCTTGAGTGAACACAGAATGGTTAATTACATTTTTATGAATAAAAATGACATATGAATAAAAAAATAGAAAATTTCATAAAGTATGATTAATTCTATTTTCATTTATTAAGTTTCTTGCAGGTATGAAACTTATTCGTCTATAAACAGTTAGTTTTTATTCTCTTGTCATTCCTCCAAGACGCATAAAATGATCTGGTTTCCGAGTGCACTTAAAGGCACCATTTGCCAGTTATTACCAGTCCTGCCCGTCAAAGTTCGACAAAAAAAAAGAAAAAGAAAGAAGCTATCTCTAATGACGGCGTTGTTAATGCTATGTTACACAGCCCAGTACTTTGCATCTACAAAAGGTGCATTTTACATATATACGCACTTCTTTGAGTTATTTCTCCGCAGACTTTGAGGAGAGGGCTCGGCAGCGCTGATGACGCTGGTTGTAGACGTCCTCGAAGAAATCCTGCGTAGCTTCTTCTTCGGGTTTTCAATCGTCCTTCCGCCAAATTCTTCATTTTCTTCCATCTCTGCGAATTATGCCACTTTAAAAGACTTTACAACGAAATGTAAAAACTACTAAACGAATAAAAGCCGAAACCTAGCCGTAATAAAACTCTAAATTTGCAGAAATAGCAGAAGATCGATGACAACAATACAGACACCACGGCGGAAGTTTGAATCAGGCGGAATATCAAAAATGGACCAATCAGGAGAGAGCTTAGAGTTTCGTATGAAGTGGGAGGAGCCAAACTTGAGCTAAATGAAAAGTATGGCAGGCAATCTTAACATAAAATCGGCTTCGTCTGACTATCTGTAACTACGTTCTAAAAATAAGTTTAAGAGAAACATTTTGACTATCCTGAATGTTGATTTAAGATATCTGCATTCGGACAAGTCAGAACTATTCAAGATACCTTAAAATGAAATTTGTCAAGTCAAAATATTTCAAGATGCCTTAGTGTGCTGAAGAAATTTACAGACTTTTACTTTACATAAATATTTTTGTTATTAGTTAATTAAATACAATTTCATGTTAAAATATAACACATTACTGTTCTTTCTGAGAGCCTTATTACTTTGATCACTTCCTTGAATTTTGTATTATTTTGTAGGTCATTTTGTCTGTTGAGAGACTTAGACTATCATAGTTTAGTTTCATGTGTGTGTGTGTGTGTGTGTGTGTGTGTGTGTGTGTGTGTGTGTGTGTGTGTGTG